TGACTTACAAAACCAAGACGTAYAGCCATACACATCAACCTAGAACTGTGCCCTCTCAGGCATTGTCTCTCAAAGTCTCTTTTCTCCTTCCTGTCAGTCTTGGAAGCGCTATGGCTGAGTGAGTGGCTGTGTTTCTGTGGGTGGTGTGGCTATCATCCTGCAGGAGTGTGTCTGCTTCTGTCCTTGACTCATTTTTCCTTTCTTCCTTTCTTTTTCCCTCTCTTCTTTGGTCTTGGTACCAGCCAGGCCTCTTCTGTGTAACTCTGTTCTTTTATTTCTGAGTGCTATTCAGAGATGTACCGCACAGAAAGCACACACCTAAGGAGCTCAACACTGTGTAATAGGATGTGCTCCCTGAAAAATTTCACATCCAGACAGCACTGCTGTCCTTCACTTCAGTCGATAACAAAAGGCAATCTTTCTTCCTTTTGAATTTTTGACAGAGGTGGTTCAGGTAACAAGCAAAACGACTCTCTGAAAGCGCGTCTTGACAGATGTAAAAATGATCATAAAAAAGATGATGGCAAACACTGTAGAAAGACTTGACATTGACAGTATTTTTAACAAAAGTCTGTATTAACATCAGATGCTGCAGACGTGGATAAGAGAAGCAGGCGTTCACAGGGGAGGTTGCTAAGACCTGAATATTCTATTAGCAAAGAAATTAAGAGTATAATCATATACGCATTGAAACATTTCTACTTAGCACAAGGGAGAAAAACCCTCTATGCTTATTTTTCACATTTTCTCCTCTCCTTGAGGACTGTGACACAAAGGGAAGTATGTTAGAATAACAGTAATCATTGCAGATATAGTCTGTGTATCCATCCAGGACCTTTGTTTTGCTATTTACCCCTTTAATATATGACAACTCTAATTATCAGAAAAGTTGAGTGATTTGCCCAAATCTGGGTCAGTTTACAAATTTCAGAGCCAGGATGCCAGCAGACATTTTTGCTTCTTTTTATTCTTTCATTGCAGCAGCATGGTATTTCTGAGTGACATCCACTAGGCCATAAGAACTATAGGAAACACCCTATAGAATTAACTTAGATAATTTGTATACTAAAGTGAGATTCCAATTTTCCCCAAACCTGCACTTCTTTCTTTCTTCTTCTTAAGCTACATGTCACCTTAATGGCTCATTTCTACTCTAAACACTGTCAGGGATACCTGCATATGTGCACATTTTAACTTTTTAGAAGATAGATTTAATGGGTAATATTAAGGATAAAATATGCATGAACATATAAACATACTTTAAACTATAAATTATCTTTATAAAGCAAACAATAGTTTTATAGAATAAAGGTAACTATAGCAACCTCTGATTCAAATCAGTCTGCCTCTCAGGTGGTGGCAGCAGCTCCAAGCCTCAATAACTTACTACTGAAATGTTTCTTAAACATACATGTTTTGGAGGCCCATTTGATGAAATTTCCCACTTAATGTTCACAATTAATTATACTTTTCTGTATTGGAAATGAAAATAATCTGATGATACAATCTTTGGTCTTATCTGTTCCCTGTGCTTTTCTGTCTCCTTACATGTCAGAGTGCTGCCTCACATTGGGGCACCTCTATTGATATCCATTGGTCAGGAGGAATTGCAACAGAGCCAGGAACACAAAAGACAGTAGTTTTAGTTAAACAGCTCGCTCCTGACATTAGCTATCAAACATTAATCATTCTCACTGGCCCTGTAATACAAATATGTGAAATACAGAGGGTTTAATTTGGGATAATGGGAAAAATGACTGTAATTGGCAATATTTTCCTAATTTTCAAACAAGGCTTCATAATGAAGCAAAAGCCTGAACAGATTCTATGACTCAGATCAGTCTTATTTTCTATTGAACTGAGAAATGGCAGCAGCAGGGGCTTGAACAAAAGTCGTCACTGTGTACCCACAGTATGCAAAGCATCATATGAAGGTATGCAGAGAACACTAGGTGAGGAGAACTTGTCTTGGCTCTCACAACATGGTCTGGTAGAGCACAAGCAGAGGTGTGAAGCATGTGCGTATGAGTGTTTSTGTAGGTGGCACTTCACACTTGACAGAGATCCCAAACAAAAGGTTTTGTTGTTTGAATCAGTTAATAGAAGTCACAGAGGAGCTTTGTGATATTTTATTGTTGAAAGACCAGGACAAAGAGAGAGATTTCATGTGGTAAACAGGCCCTGTAGGTAAGACTAGGTGTTTGTAAGATTTGGTAGAGAGAATTGAACAATAGTGGAAGGAGACTGATACTATGGCTCAGAATCTATTTCTAACTTACTAATAAAATGGAAATCACTAAAATATTTATTAAACATTTATCTTTTTTTTTTCTGCAGCTTTGGGGGTTGAACTCAGGACTTTGCACACGTTAGACTGTAACTAAGCTACATCCTGGCCCACCAAAGTCTTGAAAAACACTATGGCAAAAGTTAATCTGTAATTTTAGGGTAATTAATAAGCCAGGAAAAAAAGGGGGAAGAGATACAAATTAGAATGCATAGACAAGAAAAAATGAAGACAAGAATTAGGACAGATATCATAGAAATGGGGAAAAAAGAGAATTTTGAAGGGTATTATGGAGATAGATTTACGTTGGCAGGAAATTGGTTGTAGGGGTTAAAAGTCAGAATGGCAGCTATTATGAAGACAAACAACAATAAGTGTTGGTGAGGATGTGGGGAAAAAGGTACATTCATACATTGCTAGTGGGACTGCAACTTGGTGCAGCCAATATGGAAAGCAGTATGGAGATTCCTTGGAAATCTGGGAATGGAACCACCTTTTGACTCAGCTATCCTCATCCATCTATACCCAAAAGACTTAAAAACAGCACACCACAGGGACACAGCCACATCAATGTTTATTGAAGCACAATTCACTATAGCTAAACTGTGGAGCCAACCTAGATGCCCTTCAGTGGATGAATGGATTAAAAAATGTAGCTTATATACATAATAGAATTTTACTCAGCAATAAAAGAGAACAAAATCATGGCATTTGCAGGTAAATGTATGGCACTGGAGAATATAATACTACATAAAATTAGCCAATCCCCCCCAAAAAATGCTGAATGTTTTCTCTGATATAAGGAGGCCAACTCATAGTGGGGTAGGGAGGTGGAACATGGGAGGAATAGATGAATTCTAGATATGGCAGAGGAGTGGAAAGGAAAGGAAGCTGGCAGGAGATTAGCAAGGATAGTGGAATGTGATAGACATCATTATCCAAAGTACATGAATGAAGACACGAATTGGTGTCAACATACTTTTTATACAACCAGAGATACGAAAAATTGTGCTTTATACGTGTAATAAGAATTGTAATGCATTCCACTGTCATTTATTTATTTTAAAAAATCAATAAAAAAGATAAACAAGAAATTAATTGCCTGTTAATGGAGGACATTAACACAAAGAATGAAGTCATTCATTCATTCATTCATCAAGTAATTATTAAATACTTATATTAAATACTTATTTTATGCCAGGTACTTTGTGAGGAGCTACAAGAGGTATAGGACCTGGTTTAGTGAGATGATGCATTTTATACATGGAGAGACGAAAGTATCAGCAGAATATTCAAGCTGTGAATTGTCAATAGAGATCCATAGCTTAGGTGAATAAGTGGGCTGGAATCATCTGCAAATGGAGAAGCCATGGTTGAAGCCATGGAAGGGGGTGGGATCACTGAAGAAGAACAATTCTCTGAAAGAAGAAATCAGGTTTGAAAACACATGTGAGAAAAGCCCTGTATTGCACTTAAGAATCTGGAGGAACAGAAACTGTTAGCAAAGGGGTGGTCAAAAAAAAATTAAAATAGAATAAGAAGAAAATTAAGAAAGTGAAGCCTAAGAAGAGACAACTGGATTAGGTCCTTGGGCAATCCATTTCAATAAGTATGATTAGTGAATAAGAGGCTGGAAACAAGATAAGGGAAAGAGAGAAGTTTGGGAAGAAAAAGAGAACAAAGGACTGGCACTTGTCATGACAATACAAGCTACTAGTGAATACTTTTTGAGCATGCGTGTGCCAGGCACTGTTTTAAGTGTCTGATATTGATTAACGTATTTAATCCCTATTACAGTTTATGACTTACAAGAGAGATGTCATTGTTAGATCTTTCTTAGGTAATCTGAGACACAAATAGACGATGAAACCTACCAAGTGTCACACAGTAAGTACTCATTTGAGTGTAACAGTCCGATTCTGAAATGCTTGGTCACTTTGTTGTGTGAAGCTTAGACAGGTTTGTGAGAAAAGGAAAAGGAAGTGCAAAGAGGGCACAATGGAGTAAGTGGTTAAAACAAGGTCAGAAGGGGAAGGAATGTGGGCACAACCTTTATAGGGGGAGCCTGAGCAAAGATGCTCTGCAGATAAGATGAAGAGATGAGCAGATGTGGATGAAGTTTTAAGCTCAGAGGTTTGGAGCTTAAAAATTAAAGATAGTTTTTTTTTTTTCTTCCTTCCAACTTGGTAAAGCCAGAGTTAAGGTTATTGGCTCAGACTGCTATACGGGAATACTTGTTCCAAATGTAAAAATGAGGGAAGGGGTTGGGAAGACTCTGCATTGCTTCATAATTTATCTTGTTTTATCAATAAAACTTTATTACACAGAAGAAAAGCAAAGATCATTAGCTTTTGCACAAACCCATCAATGAATCCTTCCCAGGCACATATATGCATTCCAATAGGAATCATCTGGACACTTTGTACAGATCCCACTAGTAGGTAGTACATAAGAACTAAAAGGCAACATTTACTCTGTAGATACTCCCTCCCTCTCCTTTTCAAGTGGCTTTACAACCAAAAAAGAATCATAAAGTGTAGCCCACAGAAATCAAGAGCATATTGATGTACATTTTTCCTTTGTGGTATTTTTTTTCTTTATAAGAAGTGTTTGCTATTTTAAATTGGTTACTAGGTGATAATGGCAAAGCACATTTTTCTCTTTCTTCTAGTCAACCCTATACATTTCACTGTGAATTTGCAAGTCAAAATACCTGTTGCCATGCACATGAGAGGCACAGAATGCAAAGCTGTAATGGAGCAGGGTTGGGTCAATGACAGCACCGTTTTCTGAATGTTCCATCAGTTCTGTAAGGTAGCAGAGATGTCTGTGACAGCCTCTCACACCATAACGGGCACAGTACTCATCTAACACAAAGACCTGGCCAGGGCTAAACCAACCCTGCAAAAGAAAAAAAAAAAATACACATTTTTTTTTCATTCTATAGTAAGATTTGTTTTAGTCATTATTAGAAGAAGCTTTTTGAAAGTGTCTTCAGATGTTTATTGTATTAGTGGTATGTTTCTTATTATTTTCAGAAGACCTAGTGTCATCAATTTGGAACTGATCTGGGACACTGACAACCTAATATTATCTATTGCTGCAGCAATGCATGGGCAACTTCTTCTTCTCCACTTGCATTCAAAATTATTCAAATTTTTTCATGGAATCTAAAATTGTCAGTCATAAAAAAGAATGATACTCCATAAACATCAATCTCTTTAGGACTCATTTAAAAATAGGATGGCAAAGCAGACACTATCACTGAAAGCAGTTTATAAAGTGAACTAAAAGAACAGCAGCTGTGTATGTGTATTACCTGGGTACTTAAATATTCGGAATGTTTTCCCCATTGAGTCATTCTGTGAGTAGTACCACAGAGTTCATGTTTTAGAGTAGCAGCACCTGGTCCTCCTGGGAGGTGATTCGACCTGTGGGTGAGCATGCCAATGGAAACAGTAGGCAGCCTGCTAGCGCACGGGAGGATGAGATTAACCAGAGTTGGTTTATGCAATGTCTGATGGACTAGACTATGTGTATGCATTATTTTAAAAATAACAAAGAGAAAGAAGAGAGAGTTTTAAAAGGAAGCAGGATAACCATAAAAGAGGAGAAAAAGAATGGTAAGAAAGAGAAGGCAGGGAGAGGAGATGAAAGATCCCTGAATACTTATTGTGCTGGTGGGAGAGGTACTGTATGAGACAGAATATATAAATTATATCTGTGATATTTAGAACCCTCATGTATGGTGGGTATTATGATTTCCACATTACAGATAAATAAGCAGCAGTTGAGAGACGTTAAGTAAATTGTCCAAGATCATGGTGCAAATCAGGGGGTGAGCCAGGATTCACACCTAGGGTCATCCTGCCTCCAGACACTCTTTCTTAACCAGATCACTCTCTCCCCCTTCTATGTTCTGGAAGTCACACTGCAGCATTCGTCTCAGACTTCATATCACCTGTGGGATCATCAACAAAGGCAAAACAACTTTTGATAATTCAGTAACCAAACCCTGGAGGAGAATCCAAGAGGCCCTTGTCCCTTACTGACATTCTCAGTGTGATAGTCCCTGGGAAGATACAGAGTGCCATGGGAAGATTTGCTTAATTTTCCTTGTAATTTCATAATTTCAGTTGGATCAGGTTTACATTGTCCAATTACATGTAGAATAAGACTTACTTAATAAATAATCTATGAAAGAATGAATAAACCATCATTAATGGTAAACTGTGATAAACTAATTTTTTTCCCTGTCTATTTAAGCATCTTAATGAGCCGACAGCATATCTTATACAAAATCCTACTTCAAAAATATTGTAACTTATTGCATGAAGTTCCTAAGAGTCCAAGAGATTCAGGTAGTAATAGAAATGGACATATTTGTGAGGAAAAATTTCAAAGGAATCACCATTTCCAATATAAGTTTTTAGAAGGGCACATATGATTCTTAGTCTCCACATTCTGAGGTAGTGAGCATTCCTTCCAATTATAAATTATGATTTTTAATCCAAAATTTCAGCTACACTTTTAACAAACATCAGGTAGAAGTTTAGCTACTTAATTACCCCTGCATTTATATTGTAAAGGAATTCAAATTCTCTTTGGAAGGCTACATGAAACTCAACTTTCCTCTGACATGTATGGGCCTCATCATATTGTTTACCCCACTGTTTCTCTCCCTTGTCCTTCTAAGAATCAGATAAATGTAAGACATCAGCATCTGGTGAACAGAATTTAAACCTTAAAATGTCAGCACATGTGTCAACAAATCCTGTAATAAAGGTTTTTTAAAAAAATCTTTATTTAACGTCTGTTTTCATTCAGCCTTCTCTGGAGAGACTGATAAAACACAGTTCAGCGTCAATTTGAGTCTATTCTCCTGTCTATTGAGTGGCACAGCAGTGGTCTTCAAGTGTATAATTTTCAAATCGAGAAGCAATTGATTGGAATGCTTTATCCCTAACCCCAACTACAGTTATTAAATGAGTCAGGAATAAAATGCTGCTTTATAACAAGCATTTCTCACTTTCTCAAATCTTTCCTTCTAACCTATAGGTGACCATATATAGAGATTTGTACTCACCAAGCAAGAATAGGAATCATTCAGTCTGTGATCCAAGGTCTGTCTCTGGAGTATTCTAAAAAGGAAGGCGTGGTCAAGCTTGCATGGATTAGCAGAAATAAACTCATCCATACCATGTTTCTGAAAACGGTCTGCATCTGTAAATTCAGGAAAGCATGTACAGTGCATTTGTTTTTTCTGGTTAAATAATGAACAAATAGTTTTGCAGAATCCAAAATTCATGTCTCATGATAACAGATTACCTTTTATCACATAAAATATGATGGAAAGCATTCAGTATCTTAATATAAATTGTAAATTTTTGAAGTCTAAGTGAAAATGACAGGGAAAAAAATCCACAAATCAAAAGAATGAAGAAATTCTACTTCCATTCAAAGCTATTTCTAATCTCTATCAGAGGAATGTTCTTTGATTTTTCTAACTTTAAGAAAAGTTGATGTATTTTAAGTGTGTATTTACTGAGGGAAGTGACTGGAAAAGAACCCGGGTCTGTTCAGAAAAAAACAGCAATGATGGCCAGAAGCCTGTTTTCCAAATGGCAAACTAGAGCAGAAATGAACACACAAGCTTCAGCTGGATCACTTCCAGTCTTCTTTTTGTATGGAGCTTTTAATGGGACCAGCTCTAATATAGAAATGGCAATGAACGCTCTCAAGCTTCAAGTTTAAGAGACATGAAAAGGGAGCATCATGTTTGTGCAAATATGCAGACAAAGCATAACGTCCCAAATGGCACTTCAATCAAAGGTCCAAATTTATTGTTCTTTACAGATTGCATCTTTCAACGCCTGTAGACCCTGCGGGTTTATCAAAAGGCCAGCTTTTATGATTGCTTTCATTAATGGTATGTTTTGTCAAAGTCTTCAATGTGATTTACTAAGTATAGGAAGAAAGAGCCACATACTACCTCAAAGGAGTGCTGGGGTGTTACTACATTAGCTCTGTTAGAAACTCAGTGCATACTGAGGAAGCAATCAGTTATCAAGATAGAAATGGACTCTTCTCACAATGGTAAAACTGAAGCTCCATTGTTCCTTAAAATTCACAGATAGATCTCTTTCTGGTCATCACAAGAAAAGCAGAGTTCTAAATGTAAGCTAAGTGTAGTTTCTAAAACCTACATGGTACAATCCTAAAACTGTAAAGGAAAAGAGACAAAAGTTTATTGATTAAACCCAATTATAGAGTCAGACTCATAATAAAACTCAATATTGATCTGTGGACATGATGCTAACATAATCAGTCACATTTAGATATTTAGCCCAGATCATATTGATCCATGTCAAGTTCAACTTTCAGCCATATTTGTGGATGGAAGAACTATATAATTCAAGCTGAAGGCTCCTCAAAAGCACATTTTTAAAAAAGACACAAAAAACAAACATATATCCCATGTCAATGACAGACATAAAAAGGTGGATGGAGCAAGAAAGCAATGAATGACAGTTTATTGATGATGCAAGTTATGAGATTAGGACCCACGGAGAAAGTAGCAATGTATTCCTTTACATTGAATAATTACCTATCTGAACAATTAAACAGATGCATTTGATAAATCAGTATTAATTGGATAAACACCAAACTAAACAGTTTCCTGAATTTGCAAATGAGAAAATTCAATTTCTTTTGAATTTTGTTTTCCTGAGAGTTTTTTTAATAAATGTATATGCAATGTAAGAGGTAATATAATATAAAATAATATGAAAGTTAAATGTATGTAATTGAGATAATATGAAGAGACTAGGCAGAATATTGGAAAATGCAACCCATAAACATTATAATATTATTTTGTGTTTCAAGGAATTTATCTCAGAATCTTCATTTTTCTATTTATCTAAGTAAAAATTATTTTAGTATCACCTTTATGAAATAATCATTATTCTTATAAAACATCTGCTGAATTCTGTTCATTATTTCTTTCACCAGAGAAGGTCATAACAAGCAGTTAAATATAACGCCCATTAATGGCTTATCTGTTGAGAACAGGATATGTAGCAAATCTTAGAGGAAAAAAAATCCATAATTCTTCTTTACTGTAAAGGTTTGTAGCAGCAATTTTTCTTTCATTTCAAACTATGGTCTTTAAAGAAAATATACAAGTTTCTGAAAAAATGTCTATAGTTCACTGCTGTAACTAAATCATTTTTTTAAATTTACAGAATGAGTTCTTCATGAAATACCATTCCAAATCATACATTTACTAATGTATGTGCACTGAAGAACAAGACAAATAAGTCCACTAAAATTTTTATTTAGAAAAACAAAACAGCAACCTGCAATGCCTCTAGAGCTATAATTTTATAAAGCAAAATGTGTTCTTAGGAATTATTCCATGTTTGAAACACAGGCTGTAAAGATCTAGCATCTCAACTCTATGTTACACAAACACTATTCAAAACATTTTGTGAAGAGATACTTTGCTATGTGTCAGTAAACCATTAGTTCCTATGAATTCATGAAGAAATAAAGATAAATCAAAAAGATAACAGTTTTGATCTTCCAGCGTGGGAATTATTATTATTATTATTATTATTATTATTATTATTATTATTATTTGGCTGTGCTTCAGTAAAATTATTTTTGAAAAAAAAACAGGCAGTTTGTTTAGTTTGGTGACCCTTGTTTCAAACAAAAATAATGGCGATGCAAACTAGTGTTTGTGATATTTTGAAAAGTAAAATACATGACATCATTAGTATATAAGTCAGGAAGGAAGAGAAAGATGTACACTACTGAAACTTTCTTTTTAAAAAATAAATCTTATTTTGCATATTTGAGGTTTACAATACAATGATATGAGATATATAAAAAACAGTAAAATGGTTACTAAAGTAAAGCACATTAACATATCACCTCATATATCTACTTCCTTGTGATACAAGCAGCTAAATTCTACCACTTAAAAAAACTGGCTAATATAAAACAATTCTGATAACTTTAGCTCTGATATTGTACAACAGAATTCTAAACTTGATTATCCTACAAATCTGCTTTGTATCCTTTGAAATACGTCTTCCCATTTCTTCCTGCCCCATACTTCATTTTGAAGTGTAATGGGAAATCAGCTATCATTAAAATAGTACCTAGTTTCTTATTTTTAAAAAAGTGTATTTTCATATCGTTTTCCTGTCACATAACATACGTATGTTTAACTCTTAAAGACACAGAGGAGCATGCATGAGGCTCTGGGTTTGATTCCTAGCACTACCAAATTAAAAAAAAAAAAAGACAAAGGGACATCACTGGAATCAATTGTAAACCATGCTTTCGATCAATTAGCATAACCAAATCCAGGATTTTAAAATTGGGTTACATCAGCTTGACTTCAATTAATGTTTATCATAACATGAAATTATGATGACTATTTTTAAATTGAAAATTATTGTACAATTAAAATGTTCTCTGATAATGGCAAATTTTAGTTCAGTTTGTCTTCTGAAATGATGTAGAAAAATTATCAAAACAAGCCAACAAGAAATGAGCTTAACCAATGTACTGTAATACTGTCAGAAATTGTGATGATTAACCTATGGACTAACTACAGATGTGGGATGTGGTAATTGAGGGTACTGGTAGAGTTTCTATGGTAACAGTGGATGCATATGCTCCAACAACTTCAGGTGGTATTGTCACCAGGTGTGCTATCAGGGGATGAAATAAAACCCAAATTGAGAAAGATTACTATTTGCTAGAGATTTAAGAAGTTCAGAGGCTTTGCTCAAGTGGAACCTGAAAATTTAAATTTTTCATTAGGATAATAGCTGTGGGAGTCAAGAGAAAAGAAAAAGTAGGTTGACCAAATCAATTTAAAGAGTTAACATTGACTTGAAAATAGCTAGTATAGAAAACAATGCATGAGGGAGGCTATTTGGTGGGTACCGACCACAACCAGCTCTGTGTAATCAAGGATCCAAATCCCGGGGAGGGATTCTAAGCCATAGTACAGTATGTGAAGTGGAAAGAGTTTAACTCAACTGTTTCTCTTTGCAACAAATACTAAAGATCCTGCATTTTTTGGCTGTTCCTGATGTTGTGGAATATTTTGGACACAGAAGGAAAGGGGAACATTGAAGGAGAARGGGGACCTTTCTTCAGCATTCTGAGACAGAGGTGTCCAGAGCTGGGACTCTAGTACCAAAGGGACTAAGGGGGTGCTACTAGCCAAGAGTGGGTCTCCTTGCAAAAACGCAGCTATAAATAAGCAGAAAATTAGCCTTCTGAAATGTAATTTATTGTCCTATGTTTAAAATTGTGCTGGTTTTAGGAGTTTGCCTATAACTGCATTTACCACTGTTCATACCTAATTATGTGTTTCTTTTAGCTCAGAATCAGAGAGCTTGAAAGCTTATATAAATTTAAAAGTGAGACAGAAAAGCAGACCCCACTTCGGTTTCCATATCACTCATGAAGCTTTTAATAGGAAGAATTTAATGTTTGGAAATTTTATGTAGGTTAGTATGCTCCTGTTTTATGTGTACAGGTTTCTTGTACACATAAAGACCGAATAGTAATGGTTGGTAAGTACATTGTTATTCACACTTCTTATTGACCCAAATGCTGTGTTAGCTTCTTCTGGCTAAATTGGTTAAACTGATCTATAAATGGATATATCTTTATTTCTTCAGTAAATAATAATCATAAGTTATATTTTTACATGATAACTGTAATCAGTAAAGATCTGTAATTGCAAATAGGCAAAGTAAAGCAACATAGAACATTTGTTGGAAGTAATATGTTCAAGGTATAGTAAGACTAATGCTTCCCTATGAAACATAAAATGTAATATATTAAATAGAACAGGAAAATAAGCTAATAAAATTAAATGTAAGTTTATAATCAAATTTAAGTATTTAAAAAGCATTTAGTCTGTTGTGGCTCAGTGGTAGAGAATTTGCCTAGCATAGTTGGATTCTCAGCACCACATATAAATAAATAAAATAAAGACCCAACAACAACTAAAAAAAAAAAAAGTTAAAAAAAACCCCACATTTAGTCCAGAAATCAAATAGATGGGTGCTATTCTGGTTCACTAATTTATTATTAGGAAGCCAAATACTATGTTATATTGTATTATGGAACACAAACACTGTAGTATATTACATACACAACTAAGAAATACATGGGGTATTTGGGATTGG